TAAAGAGCTCCAATCTTCAAAATATCTTAGCAGTTCATACTAACATGAATATTTAAGCTTTTACACTGTCACTATTTTGGAAGTACATAGGGGCAGCATGGTGGCACAGTAGAGCTGCTGCCTCTCAGCGAGGAGGTTCAAATCCCTGTCCGGGACCTTTCTGGGTGGAGTTTGCATGTTTTCTCCGTGCATGCGTGGGTTTTCTCCAGGTACTCCAGTTTCCTCCCATGGACCAAAAACATGCATGTTAGTCTGACTGGTAACTAAACTGTCTCTAGGTGTGAGTGAGAGAGTGAATGGTTGTTTGTCTCTATGTGGCCCTGTGATGGACTGGAGACCTGTCCAGGGTGTCCTCCACCTCTCACACAGCGATAGCTGGCAGTGGTAGCTGGACATGGGCGCCAGTGACCCACGCAACCGAAAAAGGAAGAAGCGGATAATGGATGGATGGATGGATGTAATTATGGTAGAAATAGTAGGAAATTCTGGACAAAAGTACCCCAGATTGAACTGGAAATGCTACAGCCAATTACTGCTATCACGACATGGACGTACAATCAACCAGAGAATCATATGTAGATTTATGTATGAAGTGAGCTGACAGCAGTTAGGTCCATAAAAACAAGGTTTGTAAAATAAAACTCACGTGACGAGGAAAAACACTTTGAAGACAAGACTTTAAAAGACAGCATTTCACTTTGTCTGTGTGTGGAGTAGCCATTAGCTTATCGGTCCTTACAGACATAAGCTCTAAGCTGCCACACTGAAGTAGTTCAAAACATTATCTACAACTGGTAAAATATTTATTGTTTATGACTTCTACCCTGAACACCACTGCAAAATGGTTGAAATATCCCTTGAATTGTGTCACTGACATTCTATGTTTGTTCCTCCTTCCTGTCCTCGCAAACCCAGTCGGATGAAGCAGATGGCTGCTCATCCTGAGCCTGGTTCTGCTGGAGGTTTCTTCCTGTTAAAAGGGAGTTTTTTCTTTCCACTGTCTCCTCTGTGCTTGCTCAGGATGGGAGACTGTGACGAAGTAAAGATTCATCACAATCTGCTGCTTCCTTAGATAGAGATAACTTTTACTAATTGGCTTTTTATATACTGTATATGAAAATTTCTGTTCAGTGCACTGAGAAAACTTCTGTTGTGACTTGGTGCTATATAAATAAACTGAATTTAATTCAGCTGCTTTATTTAAACGCCCAACTAAGATGTGTTATTGTGGACATACAAAACACCTCGACAGCAACAATGATCTGTACGTTGTGGACATTAGAAAAAGTCCCAAGCTGGACAGCGCTGGCATAACAATGACACACAGAACTTCTGGAACTGCATCAGCAGGACCAAATATTTAAAACTGATAAATGTAAATCACATCCAGCACTCACAGCAGCCAAAATAACGTTAGGTTTTCTTTGTTTAAAAGACAGCAGAGGAAACAAAAGCCTTTGACTTATGAAGAAATATAAGTACAGCAGTGATTACTTCAGAGTACAGTTCCTACAGTCCCCAGCTTTCCTTTCTTAAAGCTTCTTTCTCCGTACGTTATGCAACCGCCCCAATCCCCTTCTTTCATTCAGATGCATTAAAGGGCAGCAGCAGTGGTGCATAGCAGGAAGGAACCCTGAGGTGGAAACCACACACACACACGCACACACACACACATATAAATCCTCCTGGGAAATGTTCCAACTCACAGATGAGCCCCACGCTGCTCCTTAAAAACAAGAATCTAAATGACTCGTGCGCACCAACAAGACGTGGTTTTCATGAAGACACGTGCTAATCACAGATCACTGCATGTAGAACCACCTGCCAGGGCCTGATGACCTGGAACAACTACAACACAGTGTGGAGCGTCGAGGTTCTGGTTTGCAGACGAGCACTGAAAATATGATGCCTCAGACGTGCACACTGCCGTGCACAGTTGTTTTAGTTATGTCTGACTGAATGAGTCTCGAACGCCTGAGCTCTGCACGTTGTCAGCATGTCCGAACATACTGACATCATCTGTGACTGACGTGCACAGAACTCATCACTCCTCCTTCATGATGGCCCATTTCAACTGGTCATACATCAGAACCAGTAAACACAAATATCCGGATGCATGCTCAGTAATCCAGGTAGAAGACTGAAGAAGTCTTTCGGATGAAGGACGAAATGTTTCTACAATTTTTTTGTTTTTGTTTTAGAACGTCCAGAGGACCAGACAACGTTTTTTAGACAGTAAACACAAACTATCACCAAGGAACCTGATCGCAGGACAAACTTTGATAAAACAAACGACAATGATGGGAGGTCAGACTGCGAGGACGTTGTTGGAGAGACAACAAAGACTGGACCGGTTTACATGAAAACTGCTTACTTTCTACTCTCTTGTTGCACTAATATTTAAATAACAGCAGACAAACAGAAATGTTTGAACAGACTCAAAAGAGACAGCAAATTTTAAAGCACACTAAAAACTGAAAAAAATCCCATTCATCATACACTGAAGGATTTTATGTTGTAAATCAATATTAATTGTGCTGCAAGAATTGCAACAATTATATAAATTAGGACTGACTTCTTGTTCTTAAAAAGTTTCAAATAGCCAAGTCTCATGTTTATTTATGAGACCAATGCCCTAAATAAAAGAGTCAATGTGTTGTCTTCATATTTCTCTGGATGAAACAGATAATTACTGACTCCATGTTGTAATTATTCCATGACTAACACCTAAAAACGAAGGGGATAAGCAGGTCGTCAAAGCTGTAAGTGAGTGTTTTGCAGATGAACTCTCATGAGTGCATTCCATTCATTTCTTTCTCCTCCGTCACAGATGAACGACTCCATCAGCTGACGGCCTCTGCTCGCTCACACAGGAAGCTGTTGTCTCCACGTCTCTGCTCAGACACTGTGTGTCCGTGGAGGAAGCTGCAGACTAACATGAGCTGCAAGTTGTTGTTGAGACACGGATAATGGCTTCACTGAACTGGGTCTTTTGTCTTGTTTCCTCACTCATACCTTCAGTACAAATCAACAGGATGAATCATACAACTTTAGTTACTAAAACATTTTTACAACGTGTTTTATTGTCTTCAAATTAGGAGTCGGTGAATTCTTTAAGCTACATTTGTTATTGCTTCCTGTTGCAGCGGTCGCCACAGTGAGTAAACTAGATGGATGCCCTTTCTGATGGAGCCTGGGCTCCGTGATCCAGAAGGAAAAAGTGAGTTAAGACAATGAACGTATGGATGAATGGATGAACTGGGACGGGTCTGTGGTCATTCAGTCAGAGGCTGCAGGACCAAGTCTGTGTCATGGAGGGCATCTGGCGTAAAACAGTCTTCAAATCTTTCATGCCAGTTCGCTCGCTGTGGCTACGCCTTCCACCGAGCGAAAAACAAGAACAAGCATTTAATGTAAGAAAAAATCTAAGCTTGAACTTGGTAGTGTCAGCGCTAGCTCTACCCTGACTCTTAATTTATAGGTACAAGGCATAGTGGGTACAACATTTCTCTATGAAATGGGACATCCCTTGTTACTCTTTTATGTAAACAAATGTGACATCAGGTTTGAAGGTTTCCCTCTTCACCCTCCCCCCCATCACAAAATGGACTGGGCCACCTCTACTGCCTGTTCATACACCAGTGCCCCACTGGGTCGTGACTGATGGACTAGTTGGAAAACTCAAAATTGCAAGAAAACAAGAAACTTTTTCTGTTTCAGAGTCTGAACTTGGCGTGTTTACAACAATCATCAGTGAGCTGTGCAGATACGTGTTGCACGGCCAGCAGGTGAAAATCACAGCCTGTTTTTACGTGCACGGCTTGCATAACAGAATTTTAGGCCATGCATGTTATCTTGTTGCCCACTTCCACCCACATTCTACTTACTGGTTATGATTTATTATTTATTTATTTTTGCTGGTGTACATTTTTAAAATGAAGATAGGCAGATTTGGACCTTTTTTTTAAAATACACTAGTCCCTTGCTGCTATGTGATTCGACTTTCGCAGACTCAGCGTTTTGTGGATTTTCATTGTAAGATTGTACATGACACACGATTGGCTGATTGATGGACGGCGACCAACCAGAGCATTGTGCTCTGTATCCCAGGAGCTGATTGGCTCAGTAACCGTAGCACCAGTCTGTCTGCTGTCTTTCACTGTGCTCTTTGTGAAGAAGCAGCACCAGCAACTCCCCAGAACTATGTTCATCACTTGAACGAAGAGATCTGGCTTTATAAAGCCTTAAAATATACTGTATATAAATACTAAAACAAATATAACGTCCCTACCTCGCAGATTTTCACTTATCACAGGGGTGTCTGGAACGTAACCCCCGCAATAAGTGAGGGACTACTGTATTATTTTTCATCAGGATGTTTCATAACAGTTAGCAGTGTGGGCCTGTTACCACGCTACTAACAGTAACAGTGTTTTTATAAGACAATTTATATGTTAATTGCTTTGTATTTTTGTATATTGTTGTCTGTCTAAAACAGGTCTCTTTTGAAAGCGAGTCCTCGTGACTCAGAAAGACTAACCTGTATAAATAAAAGTTAAATAAATAAATAAACCTGGACATTTGGGACTGTAGCCTCAGTTGTTTTCTGTCATTATGAGAGTTCCTGTCCAGGTGTCAAAATAACAGCAGTAGAATTTACAAAAACTAAAATGAGAAGGGTTCTGGACGGGTTTGAGAAGCCCGCAATGAGTCTGCAACTACTTTGAGACTAAATTTAATGCACAATGTTTTTTGAACACGTTTAAAATTCAAGCGACAACATGGCAAACCTTTGAAATTCCCAGGAGGAAACCGAGGTCTCCTGCAAACATGTCGAGACAATTTGGAGACTTTATCGTGATTGTCGTTCACCAACAGTCCCAGCGCCGTGACATGCTGGCTGCAGGGATGAGGAAGGAACTGACACACATCTGATGAATGTTGTGCTGTGACCTCAACACCTCACTGCTACAATGATGACGATGATGATGAGGACCCACCTCTTTGGCACTCTTGATCTTCTCCAGGAAAGTCCGTAGCTCTCTGGTTTCCGTGTAGAGCGCTCGACAAACTGCCTGGTAGTGACTCGGAGCATCTGACCCACTGGGTAGATGAACAGAGCAAAGCTGCGGCGGAGGAAAGGAGGCACACTCAGTACACAGTTAATACAGCAGCATTTCATTACATCATCATGCATCCCCTCTTTCAATGTTATTGTGTTAAATAGTAGTAGATGATGTGCCTTAACACTGAATCATTATGCAGAATATTACTAAAACTTCAGCTCCAGAGTCAGTGGGTCCCCTCCATGACTTCGAGCAGCAAATTGTCTTCTGACTGACTCCATGTTGTTCTCATATCAGTGAAAGTTAATTTTGACTCCGTTTTTTATGCGTTTTTTAATTATTATTTGTAGATTTGATTTTATTCACAGCATAAACAGAGAATAACTGCCTGAAGCTTTTTCTCCTCGGAGCTGTAAATCAGGCTGAGGTCTGGATTTAGTATTGCAGCTCCTCAAGTCTTTTTCTTTTCAGACGTTTTGTTGTGGATTTGCCCTCAGTGTTCTTGAAATCATTGTCCTGTTGCATGTCCCCGTTTAGACAAGCGGCCACACATTTGACTCTAAAATACTTTGGTCTACAGAGGAGTTCATGGTTGACTTTGGTAACTGCAAAATGAGCCCATACCATCGTCTCTGCACCACCGTGTTCGACAGAATGAAGTGGTTTTTGCTGTTGATATGGTGTGTTAGATATTGTGGTTTTGCACATAATGGCCAAATAAGCCCACTTTGGTCTTGTCAGTCTTGTGGTTTGATCAGATGCAGCTGTGAGAACTGGCCACTAAGTTTTGTTTTATTTTAAGAGTGAATTGATCTTTTTTCAACAGCTCTTCAAAATGCATCTAAATCTTTCACCTTGTTTCTACTTGTGCAGTCATGAATTTTAAAATTCAATTTCTGAGGCCTGCAGAGTCCGAATATACGCCTGAGATTTTTGAGCATTGCACGATCTGACATGGAGTACTGCCACTTGACTGGTACCCATCTTTCCTCTCACCAAGAATCTCACAGAAACCTTTCCAAATAATTGGACGATAACCATTTGAATTTAAAGTCATCCTTCTCTACACTATTGCAAACGTAGCAGGGACTGGACCCAGATGAAGGCAGACACAAGGAGCTCGGATAAATTAAACTTATTCATTAAATAAAGTAAAACAAAAAGCTGAGGCGGCTGCAAACAACACATGAACACAGGAGCTCGAGGGGAATGACCGTGACATCAGGCAGAAGACTGAACCGCTGCTGGAGCGGTGATGACAGGTGGTGTAAATAGAACGGAGGGAGAGAGGAAAGTGGCAGCACCTGGATGCTTCTTATACGCTTAACATTTACGCAATGTGGATTTAGTTTATCGAACTTTGCTCCTGTAGCTTTTGTTAAATAGAAGAATACACACTGTATACACACACAAACAGTGACGACAGCATTGGTCCCACTTTCTCTCAGAGGAACAGAAGGTGTGTTAGGTTAATGCTCAGCATGCTGCTTGCATCTATATTTACAGACGCAACACAAACACTTAAACATGTTTCATCTCTATAGATAAAAAATTCCCTGGTTACATTTTTACTCTATAAAAGAAAAAACGTTCATAAAAATCCAATCTTGCAACGTTTAAAACGGTTTACTGTCCCTGAGAGTTGGCACAGCAGAACAAGAGGAAGAGTACAGAACATACGTGCTTTAAAAAGAGAAGAAGAGAAAAAACACACTGAAGCAACCATTTCTCCTGACAGCTGGCCAGCTGTGGGGTCAGGGTTAGTTTGTGTTGCCATTGTGTGTGTAGCTGTGTGTTTGTGTTAGGCAGTCAGTGTGTGGAGTGTGAGACCGACTCTGATCTGATGGACAGCAGATACATGGACTGACGAGGAGCTGCAGCCTGCAGGACTGTGGCTCTAATCTGTGTGATGTAAATGTTTTTATTCCCACTGACACACACTTCCTGAACAGCTAGCTCCTCTCTCTGACTGAAGCTTTTTTAATAACCCCCTGAAAATTAAAACTATTCATATACTTTAGGAAGAATTACATCTTTGACATAAATGTTACCTCTCATCTTCCCAGGATTTAATTTTTACAGTAAATGAAACCCAATAAAATAATTAGATCAAAAAAGATCTCAACAACACAAATGATTCAGTTATAAAAACTATGTGATAGTGTCCCTTTATGATTGTTTCGTATCAATATAAGCCCAACAAATGTCAGAATATAAGAACTTGAAAAATCTGGTGACAGGTAAAACGTTAACAAAGACCTTGAGCTTTGCGAATGTCTTTAAAACTATTAAAAACTTGGGTTTTTATGAACACACTAACAAAGAAACATTTCCTTCCAAAATATTTTAGATAAAATATTTCCATTCTTTACATCCTTTGTAAACATTTGTCAGTGGTTACCATCAACTAGGCCTGTCGCAATAAACAATAAATCAATTAATCAATTAATCATATGATAAATGAAAATTATCAACCTCATTTTCATTTATCGGCTTCATCGTTTCTTCGTATCTCTCTTTCTACTGAAGACACTGGATGATAAAAGGCTCAATTCCTGTGCTCTTCCCTGACCCATCCCTTTTCTCTTTAAAATCTGCTTTGTCCAAAATCACATTCTTGGATCGTTAAAAGCAGATAAGCTGAGAAGCTAAGCTACGAGCTAAGCTAACAGGCCGACCTCGGGGAAAAAACCTCCGTCTTGTCGAAGCTCCAAATTTCACAGTTGAAACCCGTGCCTACATGTAAAAAGTTGTTTCTCTGCAAAAAAAAAGCTGAGAACTTGTTTACTGATTTTTTAATTCAAAGCTTTGTGTGACTAATGCTATGCTAAAGAGCTCAAACTACACCGAGCGTCCGCCATTTTGAGAACTGAAAAACAGGAATGAGAGGCAGCCCATGTCACGTCAAGGGGCCTCCCTCCCATTTTTCTAAGAGACACGCTGCTCTCTCCCTCACTATCCATCCTTCGGTTCAAAGTGTCTTATAATGTCATCTAGTGGTCAAAAAAAGGTACTACACACAAAAAACTGCCCAGCATTTCTTCTTAAATTTAACAATAATTACTAATTATTGTCAAATTTCAAACAATATTATCATTTGTCACAATAATTTCTGAGACAATTAATCGCCCAGCAAAATGTGTTATCGTGACAGGCCTACCGTCAACTTGTATAAATTAACAGAATATACAGCTCGTTGGTTTTCAGGACTGTTTTAATCTTTTGGAGACGAAACTGTCGTCGCCATTTTGGATTTTTGACACACATTTATAGATAATTTTAGTGGATTTAAACAATGCCTTACTAATAAAGATTTAACATTGAGGTCATAAGGAAAGGTGAGTAATCTACATGATTAAACTGCCAAAAGTAAAGAAAATATGTTTTATGTTTTAACCAGCTTTATGAACTGCTGACCAGCTACTGTAACTTCCAGAATATAAGCCGCTACTGTTTTCACATGCTTAGAACACTGCGGCTTATAAAATGCTGCAGCTAATTTATGGATTTCTTTTTCTTTTTTTAATTTATGGGCTAACAAGCTTCATGTCGCCAACACATTTAGCCTCGTCACATCTGGATGCTCACATAGCTGCCCAATCGTCTCTCTTGGGGGGAGGGTCCTCGAGACTCAATGAGACTACCTGCATAAATAAAGCTTAAAATAAAATCTGACAAATTATTTTTTTTTCCATTCAACCTTTTCATTCAAATTACCGAACAGGCCACAGTGATGTTTCATTGGTCCACTGGGGGGGATGATCCCCCCTTCCCATTCTCGCCTCTCCTCCCCATTATGTCCCCAGGGAGGGGGGAAACATTTCCCCCCTCCCTGGGGACAAAACAAAGTCTTTGCAGCCACACAAAATAATTTTGAATCGTGCATATAAAATGGCACTCCGAGCTCAGTGGGAGGCTTGGATGACTAGTGGTGAGAAGTGCGCAGTGGTCAGGAGGAAGATGAAGATAGCGATCATTGACTTCCTGGTAGGCCACTGTATTTTTTTTCAACCAGCCGTGTTACAGGCACTGTTCAGAGAAAAAAAAAACATTTATTGTACTATTTGCAGGGTTTAATTTGTAAACCGATCGATGCCGGAACACAAATAGCGGGCAGGCCAGCTGGGGTGGGGGTTCCTGGAGAATGTGCATGCTCACATGATAAGAACCTGACAAGTTGTTCAGTGACATAAAATATATTTTGTTAGCAAAGAATAGAGTCCTAACATTTATTAAACATTACTTCTGTACCGGTATTTTCAACAAAAAAAAACCCAAAAAAACATCAAAGTTGTGCTTTGGCAAACTCCTCGATAAAACTAAAACATTTTGTCAACTAGAAAGAAGAAAAGAGGGGCGGGTATCACTCTTGCTTTGAGTTTACTCTTTGTTGCATGTGTGCTGTGAGTGACGTGTCCAGAGCGTCATAAAAACAGCAGCGGAGGTGTCGGAGTTATTTTTTTATCGTGTCAGCAGCAGAGAGGAGCAACACGGTTCAAACATGGCTCCCAAAACGACAAGACAGTCATATTTGTTCATAACTTTATTAACAGTAAGCCTGAGAGTTGCCGGAGCCAAGTAAACAGTTACCAGAACGTGTCCTGTCAAAATAAGAGAGTTCCTGGATCTTGTTCTGGCAGGATCCGGCTCACATTAAACACTACGTATTTGTATATGTTACCGGTACATATTTAATTAAAAGTTCAAAAAAATATTTCTTTTTTTTTTTTTTCAAGGAAAAAGAAGAAAAAAGAAAAAAAAAGGAAAAAAAATCTTTCTATGTAAATATCTCTTGTTAAAACGTGGAAACCCGCAGCTTATACAAAAGTGTGGCCTATATATGTATCATTAATTTTTTCTTTTTAAATTTAGTGGGTGTGGCTTATATTCAGGTGTGCTCAATAGTCCGTAAATTACGGTAATTATAACTCCTTTCAAGCATGATCATTTCAGCATGAAAAATAAAATAAACTGTGGCGGTTACAGTAATTATGAAGGTTCTGAAAGTCTTGTGCGCTCCTGGTGTGGGTCGGACTTTGTTGGAGCTGCCATGGCTTTGATCCAGTTTGTGGTTTTTGTGGACAGGATCTCATGGAGTAGTCACGGAGACAAGGCTGTCTGGTTTGGGAAGCTTAAGATTTCATGTCTGATGTTTGCAGATAATGTGGTTCTGTTGGTGTCATGACCGTGAAGCCAGGACCTTCAGCGTGCTTCATGGGGGGGGGGGGGGGGGGGGGGGGG